ATAGCATGTAGACAAGCTGTATTTAACCATTTACGGCCGTAAAAGCAGCGTAACAAAGCATGTGTGAGAGAACATCGTTTTTGGTTCAAATCTACTTTGGTGAACAATAGTTGTTATTGATTCATCTTCACCAGTTCAGCTTACTTTAGTTAACCTCCGTCCAACTTGTCTATAATGAATCCATGTATCATGACTTGTAATAATATTACAAAATCTCGCTTTTGTTCATCACTAAATTGATGAGGCACCGAACGTGATATAACTTTTCTAATCTTTAGACAATTGTACATAATTGGTTCTATTGTATTATGACACAGAGAAGTCTCATCTATAGTATTAGTATAAATAGAATGTGTCATCGTTGTTTCTGTAAGCTCGAAAACCAAACGACCAGATCGAGAGTCATCATCGGTATCTTCTCTTCCTTAATAAAAACGCTTTGCCAATCTTGCAATTGTCCGATTTGATGAAGTGTTTAGTTCCAATGTTGCTGTAAATTTCTTGAGAATTGTCTTTGCATCTATTCCCCGAAAACTCTAGATTTTAGTATAGTATCGACTGAATGCATTACCCATTTTCAAAATTTTTTCTTGATTGGAATTGGATTTTATCTGAAAGAATATCACAGCTAAATCCAAAATAGATTTATTGTATATAGATAAGTAAGCTATTTTATCTATGGAGTTCTCATGATTAGTAGCGGGTGACTGAGTGCTTGTGTAGCTATGGAGTGAATGGTCAATATTTCGAGAAGAACTAACTTTAGAAAAGTAAGAAGCAGATAAATTGCAAAAATGGTTTATTCTAATTGTATTTCTTTGCAGTATCTGTACAGATATCCATTATATAAATCATTGACATTTGATAGATGAGAAAGAAAAGTAACGTACATTTTGTGTCACTAAATATTTATTTTTTCGGCAGATGTTTTATAGTATTCGGAATGTTTTTTCATTTTTCTACCCCATTCGGAATCAATCGTCTGTCATCATCAGTCACTATTATTATTATTATTATTACATTTCGTACTTAGTTAACTCTTGAAACAAACGAAATTTATGAAGAACTTTCACATAAAACAGTTAAAATATAAAAAAATTGTTTAGTTTCGATATTTATTCTCGTTTTATTGACTTTTCCCTGTTTGATCATTTTAATCTTATTCGAGTGTTTGAAATTATTTAAAAAATCTGTGATTGTATTGAATTGATTATTTTGATTTCTTTCATATTATCAATACTGACTTTCATAAGCTTCTATCTATCATTCGAAATATACAAAAACCAAATGAAAGAATCATTCCAAACGATATTAAACTAACATTATTATTTTAACTTCACACGTTTTACTGATTCATCACATATCCATTGTATTATACAAGACCTAGAAACGACATTAATTTTAGATAATGATATTATGCAAACATTATCAATGTAAATGCAGATGCTTTTGCATTAATTTATATTGATGAAATCAACACGACTTTTCTTATTTCGAATACAATTCTATAGAGAATTTAATCTTACATGACATAGCCTTAGTAACATTGAATAGAAAAGTATTCAAGATTTAATTGGATGCACAAAAAGAAAAGAATTTATTTTGTAAGGATAATTTCTTTTTCTTTTTATTCAATGAATATTTTCACTGTTCAGTGACTATACTTTATTTGTATTAGAAAGATTCAAAAATTTCATTAAAATATAAAATAAATATTTAAATATTTAAAATTATTAATTATAAGAATAAAATAAATGGTTTGTAAAATTTTTCAAAATTATTCTAATAAACATTGAATATCAATTAAAAAGTAATAGAAAAAAAAAGAGCGTACAATTGAAAAAATACATAATGAAGTAAAATCTTTATGATATGCCTAATTTTATTGACATTGATCTATTTGAACTAGTTATTATGATTATTATTGTAATACATATGATCCAGAAAGATGAATTCATTAAAAGTTCAAATATCATAGAGAAATTCAGGATGTGTCAATTTCAATATAGCATATTAACGATATCTAAATCTCCTGTTTAGGTTTCATTTTTATAGAAAATTTGATCTTACTGTTCAATGACATTGTTATACTTGATGAAATTAGACATTCACCCAAACTTAATAACAGAATTCTGAATATTTCAAATCTATCTCATTGATTATGAACTCTATTAATAAAATGTCGTATCATAAATATAGAAGGATGTTTGACTTAGACAATGAAACGAAGACTCTGGAGATTTTGATTAACTCTAGCACGTAATTTAACAATGTTGCCGAAATTCCTTGTTTGATATTCTCTATTATCATTTCCCTACTTCCATTTTCTACTGACGGAAAAATGTTGTGTTACGTGATTTAGTATAGATAACGGCATTTTTCTCGCTTTCGACATGAACGACTCAAACAGTTTGAGCGCATGCCTACATAGAATAGGATTTACAGTTAAATGAATTGACTAAAAATAATGAATTCTTGACTAAATACGACACTTGTATTCATAGTATCCTATCAAATAGAGCAATACAATAGCATTGAATAACGTCATCAAAATTGATTAAAGGTTGACTGAAAATCTGGGATTTTAAGTGATGCATATGTTATTATCCTCAATGCTCTTTTATCATAAATGTCTGAAAACAAATTACTCTAAAGGTTGTATTCTCTACAGTCTATTGTAATCAAAACACGGACAAAATATCTACGCACCATCTATCTGAAAATATAATGATCGTAGACATTTTTCGAATAACTGAAGAATGGTAAGAACTAGAGAACTACAATTGTCAGTTTCAGACTATTCATTGTGAATTTTTCAGAGACTTCGTAGTAGTTTTTTTAAAGTTTCATATACACTCTTCTATATAAACTATTTAAGAGATATCTTAGAAGATTTTCCCAAAACTGATGAAAAACTGAATTCTTTAGGTTTTTATGGATCTTAAATGTCACTGATTTTCTCTGATATCAGTAATAGAAAACAAAACACCGCAAAATACATGATAAGCAAGATTTCGTCCACTGACCATCTATTATATGAAAGATACTTCTGTACTTTCAACAATAGAATGAACTGTTCGAAATAAAAAATATATAATTTTGTGCATTGCCATTACAGAAGATAATACAAATTGTAAAAAGGCTTACTGACCTTCACTATAATTTGCATATCTAAAATTGAAGTTTTCTGTATTTTACATGAAATTATTTCGTTTCAACTCTTTGTTCATTATAAGATTTGTACACATATACTGTCTACATTTCTATGTTCTTCATAGTATTGGTTTTATGTATTATTTATAAGATTTGATTAGGACGATTTAATTTTGAATTATAATTTCATAAAAAACAACGAACACGCCTTCTCTTTGGAAGAATTTTTCATCATTCATACAATAGATTATTACAAGATAATATCTTGTTTATTATGTATCTTGTGGTATATTTTAGCAATTAATGATACTAGAAGAAAATGAGTGTCATTAAAGAATTACAAAAGCTAAAAAAACAAACAGTAAGATTTAATATCAAAAACAACTGTCATGCGATCTTTGGAAGATTCATAATAAATAAACCTCCAAACTACAAGGATTTGCAGTATTTATTAATTAATTTATAGAATATTCATTTATTTACCCGATAATAAAAACTGCAGCTGTCTTATTCTGTCCGTTTATCAATGATTAAACATATGGACAAGACTATTATACTGTCGGACAGACGATAGGTTACTATTCTCAGTGGTATAATCTTTATCCGCGCAATTCTAGGGTGTTGACTAATATTTTTCTTTTTTCTTCTAGGGTGTAGTTATATATATATATATATGTATAGGCGTCCTTGGTTTCTATTTAGAACGATAAGAAATAATGTAGACAAAGAACACGGCATACTGAATCACGTTTTTTTGCACGTTCGTTTATCGTATTAGATGCACAATAAATTGTCGTGTGACGTAGAATTATTTATTGAGATTTTCTTTTTTTATTTATTTAGGATATAGATTTATTTGAATAGAATTATCGATCTACTGGTTAACCCTAGATGTCACAGTAAGAATTTAATTTTGCTTATTGAATCTGAAAAAGCGTTGATCAGAGAGAGATTCAAGGAACAGAGCACTGTCTTTTTAGGCTTGCTTTTTTTTCTTCTTTTTTTTGCAAAATGCCAAGTCAGCCACAATTCGCGAAGGAGCGCAGATGAAAAAGAAAAGAAATATTTATTCTGTTCTGTTTGCTGTCATTGAGTGTCTTTATCGTAGAACAGAGTAGAGATGAGAAGGCGAAAAGGCATAGAGTACACCAGTTGTTTTTTGTTTTCAATATATTCTACATATTCTTCTATATAGACTCCAATAACACGTGTATTCTGTGCTTACGAAGCTACTATTTCATATATATACTATGTTGCTTTCTTTGAATAAAAATATAACGTCATATAACTAAATTTAGATTTTGAAACAAGAACGTAGGTTAAAAATATCGTTAGATTTTTTTTGTTTTTTTGATAGTAATCATGATTTTGCTCTTTATTAATAGTAAGTAATGTCTAAAATGTGACTAGATTGCTTATAAATAAATATTAACTATAGACGATGATGCTTACGTTTTGATGATATGGTCCATTGATTAATTCAAATTACATTCAGCTTTTTCTCCTTCAGATATATCTATGCTGAAGTAATCATCAGTAGAAACTATGAAAGTATTAGTTTATATTCAGATATATTCTTGTCTATTGATTATGTTTTGTATTCGTAGTGACACAATGTATAAATATAGAAACAATCTAAAATAGTATCAACAAGTTAGATAACATTGCATTTAAAAAAAGAAGTTTTTCTTACGGACTAGAAATTAGTTATCTGAGTAAACAAGATTGACAACAGTTTTTTTTTCTTCTTTTTCTTGTTTTTTTAATGATATTATTAATTCTAACAATATAAATATATGTATTTATTTTCTTTTACCGTTATTAGATATAATTATAAAATAATTATCATGTTCAAAAATCAGACGAATTATACTGAAAATGATCGAAGTTTAATAAAGAAAACACAACGAATGAGAAGAAAACAAGGAAATCAACGTTATAAATTACTTTTAACATGTGTTGTTTGTAACGGTGATGCTCATGGTAAACAAAAACAAAAAAAAAGTTTATTTATAGCATAGTTTTATATTTAAGGTTATAATTTTGATGCAATTTCATGTGAATCTTGTAAGGCTTTTTTTCGTCGAAATGCATTACGACCACCGGTAAGTGTGTTTTTTTTTTTTGATAAAAAATAATTTTTTTTTTTCTAATTTGAAATTTTATTTTTAGGGAAAATTAAAATGTTGTGGTAACGGTCAATGTAATATATCATTTGATCAAAAAAAACGATGTAAAAAATGTCGTCTAGAAAAATGTCTTGAAACAGGTTATAAAAAATTAAATTATTTGATTTATTTTATTTTTTGTTTTATTTAGGCATGCGTAAAGAATGGATACTTACCGACAAAGAGTAAGTTGAACATATCTTTTTTCTGAGAAAAAAATATAAAACGAAAAAAATATTATAGAAAACAAGAAAAACGAATTAAAATCGAGCAAAATCGTCGTCTTAGACAAATTCATGATAATGATAAAGATCATCAACAACAATATATAAAAAGAAAAGTAATTATTCAATGACTAAAAATCAACAAAGAACGAAAAAAAAAAAACTTTTGATATATTTTTAGTCTAGAACTGATAGTGATTTGTCAATGGATTTTCAAAGTTTTTCACCATTAATTGACCATCAAAAATTTTTGACCCATATCGATTTGTCAAAGATTGAACTTCTTCATAATGCATATACTGAAGCAGTTAAATTAAATCAAACAGCTGGTATACCCCAATATCCATTAATTCAACCAATAAGTTCAACATTAGAATTATTTCGTGTACCAATTTATATATCATCAATGCGTTTAATAACGTTTTTTAAACAAATACCTGAATTTCAACAATTAGATAGAGATGAACAAGTTTATTTTGTTAAATTAAATACATTAACTATTGCTTTTCTACATTCAATATATATATATGATAATAAAACTGAAATTTATCATGAACCAGATACAAATGATCCATTATTTTTAGAAAAAGATTGGATGAATACAATTAATAATAAATTTCATTATGAAATGAAACAAATTCAAAATAATTTTATTAATATAAATCAATTCGATGATAAAATAATGAAAATATTTTTTTTAATTATACTTTTTTCAAATTATCATACATTTAAATATTCCACAACAAATATTAATACATTAAATATATTTAAAGCACAAAATGTTTACAATGAATTATTCTATAAATATTGTTTACATCATTATGGTTTTTATAAAGCATCCATATTATTATTAAAATATACAAGTAATATTATGAAATTACAAAAATTAATAGCTGAACTTAAATCTACAGCATGTGATCATATGGACATAACACAATTAACACCAGTTATGCAAAGTCTTTTATAATAAATTCATTGAATTCTATTGGCAAATAAATTCTATATGAAATATGATTAATTTTCATTGAAAAAGACTGTTTTATTTCAATTATGTTAATCTACTTATGAAAATTGTATTGGACAATTAATGATAACTTCATAGAAAAACTTTAAAACAAATCAAATATATTTGTCGCGAACTTTATTGCATTGTTTACATATATATATATATATATATACACTTAAAATCTTTGTTTTTGTGTGTGTCTACGCTTTCTTTAGACTCTTAGAAGTAAACCTAAAGTTCAAGGCTTTTTATTGCATGTATTGTTTCTATGTAAAGACTTGTTTTGATTGTACTAGATTAATTATTTAACATCAAAATTTATTTTATAAAGAAAAACGATTAAAAAGTGAGAAGCAAAATCGAATAACAGTTTTCCTATTCGTTTCGATCTTTAATAACAACAAAGAAAATGATGGTATTTCGATCTAAGATTTCGCCTAAAGAGAAATTTATTTGTTAGTAGAATACTCTGAAAATTTTAGTTCAAAAGAATATTTCCTATACGATATATTAAAGCATAAAACATCATTCAAATTGTTTGTATGTGCCAAACAAGTGACTAAAATTTCAGTAAAATGTTTATAACTTCGAACAAAAGATTTCAAGGGATTTATTCTTTTGAGATTTTTTATATCTCACTTGGATCTACCTTATGTAAAGAGCCTGAAATCAAAAATGATTGATCAGTTCAAAACGTTCTTTTTTAAGTCTTGTTACTAATGCCGTTCAGTGCCTTTTTCGTTACTATAGTACTTTGAGAACGAAATTTGAAGTATGTTATTCTTAGTTGATATGAAAACATACCTTGGGTTTCTATCATTTGGCTGCAGTTACTAGGACCTAAGAAAGAGAAACCACAAAAACTTATCTTTAACTTATGTTCACTATTGACTTCGAAAATATATGTGAGTATGTCTTGAGTTGTTTTCAATCGCTTTTTTTTAAAGATTATTTTCCTCTAATAAGTCTTCAATATTACACACAAACAATCAGAGATTTATCTTTGATAAATTTTAAAACACTAAGTAAATAAGGAGTAAAAGATAAACTTTTGCTGTTATCTACAATTAAAACATATAATCTATATCTCTTCTTTTCTTGTTTCAATTTTGAAAGTTAGAGTATTTTCAGCAGACTGGTTGCACTTTTCAAACATAAACTGATTGCCCTTTTTTTTTTTGATGTTATGATTTTATTTATAATTTTTTCTAATTACCAGGTATACAGTTACTCTTCGCTTTTCTGTCACGCAAGATTAAAAACACTCTTGAGATTAAACAATCAATCTAATAACGATTGTACTGTTATTGAGTAAAATGTAACAAATAGGAAATAAATTCTTTAAAAAAAAAAAGATACAAAATTTTGTATTATTTCTCGTTTATCAAAATTATGAGATAAAACTTGAAAATTTGATGAGAAATTTTGATCATTTTATCGATTCATTGTAATAAATCACAATTGAATATAGTAACATCAGGAAAATTCTGGTTCTTGATAAAAAGAAAAAATAGTTTCAATGTGTCACGCAAGATTCAAACGTGCATAATAATTCACAATTAAAGTCAACATAAATATACTATTTATTACTTCAGTTGTTCTCTTACTACCGACGATAAAACACTTTTGAATCGTATTTTTGATAAATATTTTCATGGGTAGTCTCCGCCATAAAAAGCACAAGGTTCTCAGAAGTTGTTTTTTGTGTCTTGAGTCATGTAGAGCTTATTGCACTGATTATTTTGATAACATAAATATTCAAATTTACTCAATAAATCATGGTATCATGACTAAAATATTAAAAAAATTCGACTATTCCTGACAGTTGCTGAGCGCTATTTCACGTTTTCAAGCATTTTCACTTTAGCACTATGATTTATTGAGTAAGTTTGAATACTTTATTTTACTATAGAAATATCCATCGAAAATACGATTCGGAAGCATTTCGTTGTTGGTAGTTAAATACTATTCAAATTATGGCGAACTGATTATAAATTGCATCTTATGAGGATTATTTTGTGTAGATGACGCCACATTAGGAATATCAAATATAAAATAAACTATTAGTTCTATTTAGTTGAGAGTAATCAAACTTTAGGCCTCAACCATATATTGTAATGTGTAAACAGAGTCCTTTCTAACTATAATTTTAAATGCTTTTAACAAATTTTGCATACTCTCGTATATTAGTAATTATCCGATGTATATGCGGAAAAGTCTTACTTAAGTATTGTCATAGATTTTGAATGATTCTCATATATTGCAGTCATATTAATAATAGTACTCGGAAAGCTTTATTCATTTTCTCGTTTCATATAGTTACAGTCAAATGCACTATCCAATATTTTTCAAATCGAAAATAGTTTTTTTGCTTCGTTTTCTTCTAAAACCCGTACATAATAATGCTGCAATTCATTGATATATATATATGAATGAGTAAAAACCTGGTTTCATAGGATTACTATATTCAATTCAAGAATCAACAAATCAAACAGAAAATCCGCTAATTGTAGTGTTTCAAGACCCTCCATCTCTACTATCAAGAGGTAACAAGACGTCACCAGATTTGACAATACTGTCCTTCTTTCGGACAACTCTATAAAAGAAATATGTGATTGAAAATTAATTATATGGATTTTGAATTAGTCTACATATGTAATTTTCTTGGTTTGATGTCATGAAAATGAAATAGTGCTTGTGATGCATGCCAATGACCAAGACTTCGGACTCTATTTACCTTCATAAACAACATGCTGCATCGTATTGGACTATATTTACGCTAAGTGAACGTATTTTGATTCTCGAAAATCCTTGTATTTCTTCGTATATGGCATGGAAATATACCATCATAATAATGAGTCATATGAAAAGACTTGTTCGGTGATGTACGATCTGTACTTGCTTAACGTAAGTACTTCAAAAAAAATAGCAGACAAATTACCAGTCAAAGCACTTTTTTGGCGAAATAGAAGTGATGGTAGAGTAAAATTTAGCTGTCCCGTAAATCTCTGAACTCGAAATAAGACTTTAAAAGCGCGAAAGTATCAACTAAGTTTTAAAGTACTTTACACTCTCGCATATCGAAGAATTGCTTGTTCATTATTGTCAAAAAATATTGATTTTTTTTTTACATGAATTAAATTATTACGACAGACAATGCTATATATTTTTGATAAAAGCTCATGTAGCTTTTTTCATTATTTTCTGTGAACATGTGTACACAGTAATTTGATAATTCTATTCCAGTGACATTTATATTAAACAGTATATGCAATCTCAGTAAAAGAAAATATTTGGACTCTGATTAAGTGAAGAAATAAAGTTTTAAACAAAAAGACGATTGTGTTCAATAGTTTGTGTAAATATAAATTTTTCGAATTGTTTACATGAGAAATTACGTATATAATATTTATAATTAGTTCAATATTTCTACTGTCTAAGAATGGCTCGGAAAAATTCTGTGATTTGAATAACTGCTTTAGGCTTATTGACATTCGAGTTAATTAATGTCAGACGATTAGCATTATTTTTAATTATAATAAATATTCTACCTGCGACTATACCTCTGAGTAATCAAGTTCAAACACTACCGATAACAGAAAGAAGGTCTTTTATATCCGTAATTACAATCCTCAAAATAGATTCAATATTATTTTAATCATGACTGTCATTCTCAAAATAAATCAAATGTCATTGTAACCATGACTGTCATTCACAAAATAGAACAAAATTTGTTCGATTTTCAGACCTTCTAAACTTAGATTGTCTGAAACCTAGTATAGTCGATAATCTATGTCTTAGCATTTAAAATGATGTTAATACTTTTGTATTAACTAGCTCTAATGCAAATAATACCAAAGCATTAAGAGGTTATTTTAAGAGCAATGTCTAAAGCATTAATATGCATTTTAATAAACGTCAATGTTAATTCTACAACGACATTTCTATATCATTATTGGAAAGTTTAATAGTAATTTTAGTCAATTTTCTTCACTGCATTCTCTTAAAAGACAAGATGAAATTTAATATGCATAATCGAAAATATTCTTCTCTTTGTTTTTTTTCTTCATGATAAAACTGCTGAAATACCAAGATGTGACAACAACAATAATAATGAAAGAGGTCAACAAAACCTTTTCCTTTATTTTTCTCTTACACATAATAACTATGTAACGTTATAACTTGATTGAAAAAGAACACTTGATAAGGTAGGATTATCTATTTTCAGACAAGAAAGACTTATGTTATTTCTTACTCGATATAAAATAACATGAAATTATTTCATTATTTCTTATTGATTCTCAAATAATAACAAGTAGAGTAATGCAAAGTTAAGATAATAAATGCTTTTTCTTTGTTGTTTTCATCTAAGTAATAAAATGTATCCAATGAAAAGGTAAAAGTATACATAGTGAATATATTTATTTTTGTCTTGCTAACTACGATACTGTGATCTCAAGTAGCAGAAATAATAAGTTTTATATACAATGAAAGTTCATTAAAAATAGGATTTATAAATCTAATTGATAATCTATAGGATGATATTATGGTCTACAGAATTAAACGTTTCATTTTCATAAGTAATA